GGCACAGTTTCATCGATGGGAGTTTCAATAGGAATAGCCTTTGGTGTAATGCTGTTGACCACTTTGAACATCTTCATAAGCATGTATGCTATCGTTACAATAGTTGGGATCCTAGCCATGACTGTGGGAAGTCTAGTACTGTTAGGATGGCAGYTGAGTGTGTTAGAGTCCWTTGTGTTCTCTGTGTCAGTTGGTCTTTCCATTGATTTCACTATGCACTATGGAGTWKCATATCGATTATCACCACACAAAGATAACAGACACGAGAGAGTTCGCTATTCATTCATCCATATTGGATYTGCTATTTTGATGGCGGCATTTACCACTTTTACAACAGGTAAGTCTGTGTAGATTAATGGCATTGTTTGGTTTGAAAGTATATTGATCACTTTCTGTCGTGAAATCGCCGTTACGCCCTGACAACGTTTTTTGAAATAGGTTAACTGAAGACCAAGGGATTACTTTGAATAAATGTCACTGTTACGAATGACATGACACTTTRTCACTATGATTGAAAATCAACATATAAATTGTAAGTTGTGYTTGCAGGACTACTGATGCTTCCTGCAATCGTTCTTGTGTACATTCAACTTGGTCAATTCTTAGTTTTAGTCATGGTTTTCAGCTGGTTGTTTGCAACTTTTGGGTTTCTTTCCTTGTGTGCTTTTATCGGTCCAGTTGGAAACTTTGGACAGCTAAATATTACCAGGTAAAAACAAGTAGCACATTAAACTTTTCTTAACCTCTTAAAAGGCCATCTCTTTAATAAATATYATTATTGTTACTTTTTCAAGCATCTGCCGCAAGTTTGGGATATGCAAAGAAAAATTAAAGGATGAAGTAATTTCTTTATCTAAAAACGAAAAAGGGGACGAAAACATTTGCTCAAGTCATGAAAACCCTGAAGTCGAAGCAGATGAGCTAAAAGAGCGACGTCCAAGATTCTAAAATATGAGTCCAGTATGTAAATACAAGCAATGGTAGTATTATCGCTATAGTATTGCAGTTGACAATGAAGTAATATAGCATAGTAGTATTTAATGCGAATTTGAGTAAGAATAATTTTAGCTTTATATATAGTGGATATATAAGTCATATCTTCAGTAGTAATTGTACTGTACATACAATTGTACATATAATTCTATTGAATACATAGGCTTTCTGTGGAAAACCATGTCTAAATTACTGCAATTTCATTTATTTGAGTAATTAATAAACTTTAATTTCTTTATTAAATTCATTATTACTGCAATATCCAAACTTCTTCATTTTGTTCACTGATAGCAAAATAATGAACTTTTGCACAGTAATTCAACATTATTGTTTGGATATTCATTAACCTGTTGGACTACACTATTATTAAATAAATAACATAATTTATGCAAAGCATCAGTTGCAAASAAACTGCCCAAAAGCTAGATCACCACCCAGCCATACCTTCTCCCTGCAATCATTTCTTTCAGTGAGTCTTATGTTTGTTTTGATATTATTCTCTACTTTATATTCTCTATATTTCTCTTACATTCTCGTCATAAATTTTCCATTTTACCTGTCCTGACTGCTACACACCCAAAAACTATGATATTTATAKATTTTGTGTCACTAAAAGTACGAAAATAGCTCATTTTTCATTAAAATGTTAATCCTCTCCCATGTCCTACTACCCACTCATAATTGCTTCTTCTAGTGGTCCCTTCCTTCTTACTTCCATTTCATGTTATGCGACCATGAATTATGGATCATTATGGAATGAATCCYGCTTATAAACAATAAAGAWCAAAAAGYGAAGAAAAAAGATTTTAKTTGCAGAATAGCAAAATTCATAAATTCTGATTTAAAAAAAATCTCAACCTAAGAGCTGAATTGAAGCTCGTTTGCTACACCCAAGTACTGCAAACTTATATGGAAAAAATGCAAGAGGTTTCATCTCAGTCAAAACATGTGAAGACCAATTTCYCCTGCTTTAGTTCTCGAATTTAAAGGATATATTGTGGACTTCCTACTGAACGTATCAGATTTTCAAAGATTAAAAAAGCATTTTGTTTACTGAGAGTGTACTTACCTTTCCAAATATTATCAATATTACTTTACATGTAAACAACACTGCACTGGACGACGCCATCTTGTTCTGGTTGACTGGTGACGTCATAGCCATAAGCAGTGTTTTGGCGCGAAAAATACGACTCGCTTCCAAGCGCGCGCAGACAGCCTGCGACAAGTTGAAGGAGGAGAAGGGCATTTAATTTACACTAATTTTAAGCTATATACTCTAATCAGTAATTAATGATAAACATGCACAAAAAGARAATATTTGGTACTCCTCCCGAACCCCTCTTCAATATGAGAACAGTAGGAATGACACCAGACTTACTTGAAGAAGCTCTTTATGTTTTGGCTGAGGAAAACGAAAAAAGTATGGATGGTGCAACCGAACGTCAAGGGTACTTTAAAAGTGGTGTAACTGCCGGTAATTTAAATATTATATATATTAACTTAAACAATCATGGAAAAAATAAGATGCACAGTGTGTCAGCCCAAAGCTATAATTTCAACATTTTMAAAAGATTATCATAATATTTAACCATAGTTAGCCTTAAACTTAAGCTTAACTATGATTTAACGAAACGAAAACCTTGAGTCGGATAGTTCGAGTATGAGCAACAAACTTTTCTTTTTCTATTTAAAATTTGTCACTACCGATCGATTGTTTTGAAATTTTGTTTTCATTTGTGCTTCAGAATACGTGTTTCTACTTTGCCAAGAGTTGGGGCTGTCATCGGAATGCCGTTTTCTTGCGCTTGAAATTTTGGACAGGTATCAAAAGAAGAATAAGCTTACATATCGTAAGATTATTCAACTGCACAATTTAAGCTGAGTAATTCAACTGATCATCCGATTTGATAGTCTAATAGTCTGATCAGATTTCCATCGATTTTCTAAAGGTTCATRGCGAAACACATCAGTGATCTTTTTGAGTACATCCAATCCAACACAGACGAAAACCAAAAAGAAAACTGGAGCGAAGTCGAAAAACGTATTAAAAGTCAGCTTCCGCTTCGCATTGTTTCTTGTGTGCAAATAGCAAGTAAAGTTCAATCCCACTACAAGGTAGGTCAGTAAATACCGATGCAARCAAAGAACAACAACCATGACAACAAAAATCTATAAAAATAGCTTGAATATTTTCTATATAAAAAATGTTGGTTATTTCTTTTCAGACAGTCACGCCCAATAAAGCAAGGCGTTTTCTGAATTCGGTTGGATGTCGGTATTCTGTGAATGGTATTTTGAAATCAGAACTTCGAGTTTTAAAAACTTTAAACTTCAGCCTTCCATGCAGTACTCCACTCACCTATCTGGAGACAATATTAGAGATTCTGGGTATGTAATAACCCTTTTCGCGGTTAGGAAATAAGTTGCGCAAGGAGGTGGTTTTAATTACACCAAGTGAAATCGGGCAACAACCAAAAAAGTTGTAATTTTTTAGCTTGTTTATGCTTTTGAAATGTAAGAAAAAAATTGCGATGGTGAAAAAAAAAACATAATTGTTGTATACTGTTTCCCGCTTTGGTTTTAACTGCGAAAAGATCTATTCCACAGACACTACACCTCAGCAGGGGCGGATGTAGGATATTCAATGCCAAGAGCAAACATCATAGTGGAATAAGTAATTGAATGAATCCCTTACAATTTAATTGCCTGTTAATGATTTCTACAGGCCATAATGACTCAAAAGCCCAAGTCAAAGTTCTACATGACACCTCAACAAAGATTCTAGATATTGTCTATCTCAAGTACCACGATATGTACACCAAACTTTGTACAGCAGCAACTGGTGAAAAATGCTCTAAAGATGACAGACACAAAGTAGCTGTATTAGCCAGTGATCACATGCTTATGTCAGTCTGTGTGATTGGCTCGGCTTCTTACATAGTTGATCAGACATCAAGTGATATGGTAGGTACTGCATTCTGTTGACTTGATAACTCAATGACCCTCAATGACACATCATTGCCTTGGAAATAAAAAAGCATCTCTCATCAAACACTAATCAAATYAATTAATATGGATTCACYGATATAATTTAGGTTGTGGAGCAGTTAAGCCGTATCACACAAATACCACAGGATGACATTCTGGATTTCGCCACAATCATACTAGAAGCTATTTTGTAAAATACAGCAATACAGCCACAGGGAGCCCAAATTTATTATTATGACTGTATTTTGAACTAAATCAGTGTCACCTGTCAGAGTACAAAAATATGCCAAGCATACCATCTCAGGTTGCAGCTCATAAGATTTCCAAAGGCTAYAAGGACTATAAGCAAAAAGAAACAAGGCACAGAGCTTTAAATGGGAATCTCTAATAAAAATTAGGAAAAAATTGTTTACTTTGAAAGTCTTGAATTCTATAAAATCTGGCAAGACCTTAAACCTAAATCCAATAACAGTTCATGAAGATCACTGCTTGAGATAGGAAAAAAACATTGACAAAGTGTACTCTTACTCATTGATTTTTACATTCACAAATAATAAGCATGGACTCCCTGTGAATTGTACAACAGATTCAATACCAGCCTATAATTAACACTTTGATGCAATGTTTATTATTAATTTATTTTGAGTCTTTGATAAATTATAGATAGTAAGAGATAATCATTTTACAGATCATACTGATTGTACACCATGTATCTTTGTAACAATTACAATGGAAACAATGCTTGAGTGCCAACACTCAAGTTGTGAAATGAAACCAAAGTTACAAAATAAATGCCTACTTTCCAAATAATTGGCATAAATTTGTACAAATAATAATAGCTTTTTCACAATTTTACAGACAGGAAAAAAATCAACTTGTGTTAGTTACTCTATCAGGGCAAAAGTTATCTGTTAAATACATCTGTCTATTTACAAAATGTAAAGATAGGTGACATTTTGTTCTTTTACATTTTTCTGGTACAAAACAGACACAACCAAAACTTACTCCTTTCTTTAAATCCATGATGTACACTTTACAACATGTTAGGATTTCACCTCTTGGAAGATGTAATCCAATACCCTTGTTCAAAACAAGAAGAAAACATGTCTTTTAAGATCATCAGAGAATTTGTTCTGAGTGAGGTGAGCCATCTTACTACACAACATACAATAATATCTTATTTCTCTCATATCATCCTATTTTGAATTATTATTTCTATGCTTACTACACAAAAAAAAACTAGTTTATAATAATATTTCTAGAGGAAAGCTTTATTTACAATGTGTACATCTTTATTTAGAAGTCTTATAAATAAATTGGCAAATATTTATGTCATATAACCAAATGCAACAAGTTACTGTTGTAAACTTTCCTTGTTATCTTCTAAACCATGACCTTTTAATGATGATGGGCTTCCTGTTTCCTATAAAGAATGATTAATGAATTAAAGCATGATATCCAAATTCACTTGGTTATTACTAGTACTTGGTTTGTAGTGTCCATGCTCCATGATATTATACAACCATAAATGTAAATTTTAACAAATTGTGTATATTTCTGACACACTTTGAGAGGTGTGTTTGTGGGGTCTCCTGCTTCCATGCATCATTCTAATTCTACATGAGAGTAGCACATAGTTTTCAATACCTTTAATGGTTTGTCTGTGGTGTTTTCTGTATAATGGCTCTGTGTATCATCTTTACTTTGCCCTACTGGGAGGTTTGCTTTTGTTTTTATACTATTATTTGTGGTAGAATCAACAACACCGGAGTCTCCCTCATGTAGCATTCCCATGCCAATACGATTTAAGGTTAATGTTGCACTTTCTTCACTAAAAAATACATGTGATCATTAAAAGTTCTATAAAATAGGCCAAAGCCAGGCAATAAATGGTTACCTAACAGTCAAGGTGGCAGCATTGTTGTCCTGTCCTTCTTGTTCTGTTTGTCTTGTTCTACTATCTTCATTGTTTTGTTCACTTTGTATGTTAGGGTCTTGGTCATTTATCTCTATGCCATGGCTACCAAAACTATTATCTAGTTCAAATCCATCATTTGTCTCATCACCATTTAAGCTTGTCATATTACTATCCTCATTTATATCAAATCCACTATTTGAATTTTCATCTTGTAAGAAACTGTCCCTTTCACTGTTTTCATCATTACCTATCATTAAGTAGAAGATGGAATCAAATTAATAGAAAATTCAGTGAATGGGGTATAACAATATTCAAATGTGTGAGGTTTTTTTGCCTAGTTCCCTTGCCCAAAGGCTTTCCTCCACATACACTGGCTTTTCTCCCTGCATCAAGAACTAGCTGCGAGGAGTGTTGTGTACTTAATCAATTTTGAGGCTGCAAGTGAATATAATAGAGGACCAAATGTTTACTAGTCTTGAGGCTATTCTGTGCTACACTCTCTCAAAATAAAGACTATTATCCCTATAATAAAAATTTATTACCATTGTCTTCTGTATTATCTGGTTCTTCAATTTCTTCATGTTTTCTCTTGTTAGAAATAAGATGACTCTGTGTGCCATTTTCTGTGAGGTTCTTTTGATTGAGTTCTGACAGGTGACTAGATGGCAGCGCTGGTGAGGATGCATTACTGTCGTCATTTATATCTCCAGTGCTTGATGAAATTGACTGGTTATCTCTGATGGGGTATTCTATTTAATATGAACAGTAAACTTATTAATATCAATGAAGTGGACTAGCTGTACACTCCACATTGTCAGAAACCCATGAATGATCTTCTAGTGTCACTTATCCTCACTTCAGAAAAACCCTGGAACATCTTGTTTCAAAAGTGAAAATGGTTGCCAATAAATAGACCAGCAAATATCATTCTATTATCAAATCAAGGACAAGCTCAGATCAACATTTACTAACATGTAATGTACAATTTTAAGTCATTTTAGAAGGCAAGATACATATGACTGCAATCAATGTTGGTGGACAACCTCAATATGGAACAAGGTCTTACAAACATCATGCCRTTAGGGGTGTTTTTTTACTGGAARTGAGGGAGGATCTATCCTGCGTAGCGGCCCTATGAGGATTGGGGAGGGCCGGCCGAGCGGGGAGTGGGGAGGGAAATAGGAAGGGCCTGCAAGCGGACCYGACGGTTTTACGAAATCTACAGTTCGATTTTGCCGTAAATTCCCTATTGGTCGAGAGCTGCAAGCTGTCAATCAAATGTCAAAGTGATAGATACAAACATGGCGGGCGATGAAGAAGGGTTTTGTTATCAGTTAGAGCGAGCTTTAAGTGATTTAAAAGAAAAAGGCTTCAACATTTCACTAAAAGAAGAACAGCAACAAGCTTTAGAACAACTGTACGTAAAAAAGAAAGACTTGCTGGCGATCTTGCCGACTGGCTTCGGAAAAAGTTTGATCTTTCAAGTGCTGTTTCTGTTGTCTCGCTTCGAGCTTCGCTTCCAAGAGATCTCTCCTCTTGCTATAGTTATTTCTCCGTTAGTTAGTATTATAAATGACCAGATCTTGGAAATAGATTCTTTTGGACTCAAGGGATGTAATCTGGTTGACGCAATTGGCAATTTAGACATGTTATCGAGTGTAGATGTTATATATGCTTCCGCTGAAAGTGCTTTGGACAGACGCTTCACRGACTTTCTCAAAGACAAGGACAATATAAGTTTTGTTTCAAGAATTGTGGCTCTGGTTGTTGATGGTGTAGCATGTTTACAAAAATATTTGACAGTTCTCATGTCCGTTGACCTAGCGACCTCATACTGATAGCGCTTCGTAATTGGTTTATTTTGACAACTGTAAAGTTAGATTTGCCAGACTTTTGAAAATATTAATTAGGGGGCATTTCGTAAAACCGTGGGGTCCGCTTGCAGGCCCTTCCTATTTTCCTCCCCACTCCCCGCTTGGCCAGCCCTCCCCAATCCCCTTAGGGCCGCTACGCAGGCTAGGGAGGATGTAAAATAAATTGCTCAATAGGAGCACAAAGTAACTCAACAAACATAAAGAGTACAAATGCTGCCACAGTATAGAAAATACTATCATTGTACCAGTTCCATTAGAGAGATCTTGTTTCCTAGGATCAGCCTTCTTCTCCTGAGCAAAAAAACAAAAGAAAAAATGGAACCATGCTTAGATGATTGATTATTATTACCACAATATTGAAAAGTGCACAATGTGAAACTAATATCATAAACATATCATAGACATAGTTAATCCCRAAGATACAAAGTGAGGTAAAAGATTTCAACTTCAGCCAGAAACAACCAAAATGGTTCCTTTTTTTCCTTAAGACTGCAGCAAGCAGTGTTCTTCATGATAACATAATGTGTGCAAGATATGAGTAGCCTGAAGACAATAAGTTTTTCTTGAGACAGTGCTCAATTGAATTCACACTGTGTGCGATGGGCTTTAACTTCTACAAGACTTTATTCCTGCATTGATACCCTTTATATTAGCCATTCTGGAGTTATGAAATGAATTGTAATTTCTGTTATATTGAAAACTAACCATATCACTTAAAAGACTTTATCGACTTTAGTGTAGGTTCCAAGTTACAGATCATTTGGACAAATATTCAATTATGGGGATTTTGACAGCGTCCCCGRAAAACAATACATTCTCTGTTAATTTGATGAAACTAGGAATAAATACTGTTCAGCTATTTTTTATCCAAACGTTTTGAAACTTGGTATATTTACTAATTTTTGGTATCCATTCATGGGGTGGGGTTTGTTTCRTGATTAGATCAATATTTCTTTGATTAGTGCCCAGTCCCCTGCGCAACTCCGGAATGGCTAATACAATAAACCCTTTTAGCGATCTCTTTTAYGCTGTGTTAGCCTCAAAACCATGGAATAAATTCTTTTATTCACAACAGTCTGTGCAAATGCAAGAGATCCGTGAGTATAGAAGACAATGGAAAWAKTTTGAAATCTCAAGAGTTTTATCTACATTTCGGAATATTTTAGCACACAATTGAGGCTAACGCAGATTAAAAGAGATCGCGAAACTCGACTATTGGGTGGATGAGGGATATTGAGTGTCCAATCAGGAATCCAAGATGAACAAAAACAATAAAATTAAAATAAAACACAAAATAGTGTTTCTATTTTTTTCCATTTTGACTTCAATACAATAAGAAGGAAAATAACCTCAGCTTGCGATGCTTTGTGAGATGGTGCCTTCCTTCAGTATGAAACTGTGCACTGATTGGCTAAGATCAAGCATGTGATCAACTGGCCAATCGCCTWGTTTGTCATATTTAGTTGATTATCTTTSAAATTTTTCTCTTTTTCAAAAACTTGTTACTTTAACAGGTGAAGTTTTTTTACTGAACATAATCAAAATTTTGAACTGACCTGTTTCTTGTCAGATTCTTGACTACTCACTACATGTAAGAAATGAACAATAGATATCCGTGAGCCTGGACACAATTAAGCTTAAGTACTATCAAAACATTATACTGAATTCTAAATCTACATCGTTGAGTATTTTYACCGGAAGGGTCCATAATCATTTTCTTAAAAATTACAGTTATTAAGGGTTTTTACGGTAAATACTTTGTATTGAGGCTTTAGTTTGACATACACATGTTTGCATGAAAGATGTTCATAAGGTTCATGAGCCCCTTACATACCTGGTACCCATTTAAAAACTTTCAAAGATCCAGCTCCAACATCTACCCATTTCTTCTCCCTAAACGAAATAACCGCCAAAATTGGTAACTAAAGTAGTTTTGACTGGAAAACAGCTGATTTGACAGTTACAATTTGAATTTCATTCAAACAAAACCCCCTTGTGTCAATCGCTCATTGATTGCCGCCAAAAATACTCCAAAAATGGCTAAATCTAAGTACAACATTTTCAAGCATGACAAAATCCGGTACTCTGAGACAATTACCACTTTCTAACACGCTCCACGGAGAGCATAACCCTTTTAACATCATCTTTGGCCCGGCTTCGAGTTTCCAATCGCAAAACCCCACTTCTGTTCATCATGGCGGCGAGCTGTAGACGTAATGTCCCGGATGTMACTAGATTCCAAATAAGGAAATTTTCTTTGGTCTTACATAATTTTTTCACATCGTTTTCATTTTGACACCTTGTCATTTTGGAAATTTTCAAACACTTAAAGTGCATTTAGTCAAACTGTGAAATAGCTAGTTAACAAAATGACTATTAAGGCGATGTCACATTAATTAATAAAATCGCGGCAAAGCAACCGTCGAAAAATCAGGGGGGACATAGAAGACTATA